AGTGCTCCCCTCTAACTCCAGATCACTTGTGGGCAAGTAAAAAAATGATAGTCCCAATGAGCATCATGGATGAGCAGGAGTTTGAGCCTACCTGCTCACTATCCCACCGATCATCTGGCAAATAGCCCCATGACAGAAAGCCTAATAACAAAATCCTGCAACAGCCTATTTTAAAGGTAAAGGGACCCCTGACCATTAGGTCCAGTTGTGACCGACTCTGGGGTTGTGGCACTCATCTTATTTTATAGGCCGAGGGAGCCGGCGTACAGCTTCCGGGTCATGTGGCCAGCATGACTAAGCCGTTTCTGGCGAACCAGAGCAGCGCACGGAAACACCGTTTACCTTCCCGCCAGAGCAGTACCTATTTATCTACTTGCACTTTGCCGTGCTTTCGAACTGCTAGGTTGGCAGGAGCAGGGACTGAGCAACGGGAGCTCACCCTGTCGCGGGGATTCGAACCGCCAACCTTCTGATCAGCAAGTCCTAGGCTCTGTGGTTTAACCCACAGTGCCACCCGTGTCCCGGCCAACAGCCTATTTTAGTACCTGGTAAAATAGTAAGGCTATGTACATAATTAGCAACTTAAAATGCTGCAAGATCGTTCCCCCCCCCACCCCATTACGTTTCAAGTCACATTTTAATGTTACTGTACAAACCAGAGGGGGTGGGGTAGGAATGTCTTCCCTCTACCTGATTTATTTCCCCATGCCTGCTACCCCCTCCAACTTCTTTTCAAAGATGATGTCATCTAAGCACATGCTGTCATCTGGGCATGTGCAAAAAAGGCTGTCAGAACTGTCCACACTTCAGCTTAACTGGCTTGCGTTTTCATATTGGATGGAAGCTGGTTTGAGGGTGTATTAGGAGTATCTCTTGAGAGCCTACTTTGCACTTCAGTTACAACAGGATTCAGATGGATTGTGGCTAACATCACATGTGCCCGGCTTCAAAAACCAGCAGTGGGAGTCTGATGGAGCCAGAGTAGACACTATTGTGTACATACTGTAGCATTCAGCTCTTAAACTCTTGTTATGCCAAGGTGAGGATCGCTAATCTGGTTTTCTTGTTCTTCATAGGTGATCACAGCACTGAAAGTAAAATATTACAGCCACGCTGTGGGAGGTGTCATTGAAACATTTCCAATTTGCAATGCATCCTCTGTGCCCATCCTGAAGCACAGAGGAGGCGTTCTTCAAAGTATCCATCCACTGCTCTGCTGAAAAGGCAAGACGCTTTTTGGTTTTAAAAGCAAGTTGCCTCTGCAGCAACCTTTCCTCCCTCTTATTTTTAACTCCTCTGGCTTTTCAGGATCCTCTTTATTATTTTCATTTGGGGTCCCCAGCCGGGATCAGAATCACGGATCCACTCTGAAGCAAGAGGAGGAGACAGCCAATCCCTGTGCAACCTAATCGGAGCACAATCCTGCACAAAATGTGCCCCACAGAGCCAGAGGCAGCCCATCGGTCATGCGGTCTGCCAGAGGCTGCACGGCCCCTTTGTTTGTACAGTTCCAGGCAGGAGATTTATCAAGCCCCCTCCTGGTGTGCCTGCCTTGCAGAGTTGTGGGCTGTGTTGGGTGTGATGGATTGCAGGTTGTACAGGCCTGATCTAATCTGATGGCATCTCTCATCCCGGCTTTGCAAGTGCACAGAGGGAGCTGACAGTGCAGAGCAGCTCTTTCCCAACCCGGTGACCTCAAGATGTGCCGGCCCACAATTCCCAGCCCAGCCCTGCCGGTTGGGAAAGGCGGCTGCTGCAGAGGATGTTTAGAACTCCTTCCCCGTCTCTAATCTCCATTTCCCAGTTTGTCCTCCGTTCTCTGGGAGGCGATACATGATCCAGCATCCTCACGCTCCAGCAATGTGACCGCCCAGACGATGAGATGGCACGCATAAGTGCAGCTATGCACCACCAACAACAAAAAAGGCCCCCAATTTAGACAACACCGGGAATAGCGTAGAAACGAATCCAGCAGAGAAATGCCCTTTGCCCTTCGTGCTTGGCTGTCTGGATGCTGTTTTATGAAGCTAGCCGACCGGGTGCATGAAGAATTAGCATTCATGGGGACCGGTTTGGCAGCTAGGAGGGGAGGCGAAGGGGGGCGGGGAAACGGAGACCATCTCTGTCTAGACCAGCTACTTCTGGCAAGAAGCCCAGCTTTAGATTTCCTCTCAATCCCTTGAGCTATTGAGGATTGCTCTGGAGTCAGGAAGCAAAATCCAAACACGAGAAGAATCTCCCTCGGACCTCCTTATTTTGGCATGCACAGAAGGTACAGCCATCTCTGTGTCCCCTAAAAACTGGTTGTGGCCCTTGGGTGCCCAAAGAAGTGGTGAAACAATTTCTGCCTCCCTTGTGGCCCTGCTATGCATGGACTCTGACCTGAGATACAGGCTCAATTCAGGGCTTACTGGTCTTATGCACAGCATCCTCTTTATAGATGGCAATGTGCATTATTTTGCATTCCTTCAAAGTGTGGCAGACCAGCCCTGCCACATTGGGGAGCTCTCCAATTCATTCTGCTGAGTGGGGCCTCAGACTGGGGCTCCAGTGTCCTTTACTGATGGTGCCAGCCAGACAAGACATACATTCTCCCAGGCATATAGGCATATTTAATTCTATTAATGATGCAGGAATGCAACCTGGGCTTTAGGGTGTGTTTGTATAATGGTTATTGTATTGATTTTGTTCATTATCATGCTTTTATTATGCTGTATTAGAATCGTTAAAAGGGACGCAGGTGACGCTGTGGGTAAAACCTCAGTGCCTAGGACTTGCCGATCGTATGGTCGGCGGTTCGAATCCCCGCGGCGGGGTGAGCTCCCGTCGTCCGGTCCCAGCTCCTGCCCACCTAGCAGTTCAAAAGCACCCCTAAGTGCAAATAGATAAATAGGTACCTCTTTATAGCGGGAAGGTAAACGGCATTTCCGTGCACTGCACTGGTGCTGGCTCACCAGAGCAGCTTCATCACGCTGGCCATGTGACCGGGAAGTGTCTTCGGACAGCGCTGGCTCCCGGACTCTTAAGCGAGATGAGCACGCAACCCCAGAGTCGGTCACAACTGGCCCGTACGGGCAGGGGTACCTTTACCTTTACCTTTACCTTTATTAAAATCGTTACACTATATATGGTTGTGGGGGTTGATTTGGACAATTTCTTCGGGTCACCTGCAGGGAGGTTTTGTATCTGTAAGGTTGGAGTCTGTAACAGAAGGAACTGCTCTTGTTAAGCATCCTCTTTACATGTCTAAAGAGTTGGTCAACTACAAGGGAAGCAACAAGCTTGTGAAGGCTTTGGAATGTACCATTTGTACAGGAGGCTAGTTTCTACACACACTCGCACATCCTCTCTAGCATCCACCCAGACCAGCAAAAGACAGAATCAGAGTTCAAGAACATACTCCAGCCAGGCAATAATATTTGAGGATGCAAAGCCTCCCCCCCAAGCCATAGGTGACATGTCTGCACTACCAAGCTCAGCTGCTTGGCACCCCAAGCCTGGCATCCTCTCGGCCTAATGCTTCAGGCGGTTAGCTGGGTTGTCTGCCCCTAAACCTAGCCCTGGGAGCCATCTGCAACCCATGTGCATTTTCTCATGAGTGAACCCTACACAAACCTGGAGTCCCTGAGATGGTTGGATGGCGGCTTGTAGGCCTCCTTCCGGCGACTCCTGCAGCCAAGCTGGTGACAAACGTGTTGCTCTGCTTTCCTTTGGACCACCTCAGCAAGGCCAATATTGTCGTCTGGGCAGCCCTGGACCTCCATACACACTGTCCAGGCTTGTTCCCCAGAGAGGTCACTTTGGGGCTGCTAACACAGCAAAAGCAATGCAGGGGAGGTAGCAGTTATGAGCTACCAGTCTCTGCAGCCACAGCAGGAGCTGTTAACATTCAGCAGTTCCACTTCACCCTGAGTGGTTCACTCCATTGTCTCTCAAGGCAGACAACAACAAACTCCCTTCCCTCTTGTCCCTCCTACTGTTGATCTGTAGTTCCTTGGGGCGGAGACTTGCCTTTTTATTCACATTACTCTGCAGTGCAACATGAATACTTAGGAGGAGGAGAACACTGTTGTCTCCTTGCCATCTGTCCCCCCCCCCAAAAAAAAATCCCACCTCAGTGGCTCTTTCTGAAAAACGTGAGAATGCTACATGGAGGCATAAAGGAAGCTTGGCCCTCCTGTTGCTGTTGGACTTCGGCTCCTAGCCTCCCTGTCCATTAGAAATTATGCCTGGGATTTATGGGTACCAGAGTTTAACAACATCTGGAGGGCCACAGGTTCCCTTCCCGGCAGACAGGAAGAACTCGATAAACACAGGCAGGCTGGCCTTTTCAGTCATCCTTTAAGTGCATCCCTTCAGCCCTCAGGGAGTTCCCAGGACTGTCCCATCTCCTGCACTTCTGAATAGCTGCTCCTGGTTCCTTCTTTTGCTGTGCAATTTGAGCAGACCCCCCTCCCATCCCCTCCCTCAGATGAGCAAAAATCACTGAGCTCAGCACATGCCTGCCTTGGAGCTGGGTGGGAGGGCTAGGGGTTTTTTTTTGGGGGGGGAGTGCCTCTTCTGCCTCGCAAGGCACGTCCCTGGCAGCCCAAGAATTTTCGTTTTTGTTTTTAACCATTTCCAGGCATGGTAGTACCACAGTGCGTGCTACTTTGCTCTGGAGTTTGATCTCCTTCCAAATGAATCCCGGCTACTGCAGACACGTCAGACAAAAGCAGACGGGGAGGTGGGAGAAATGAGCGAATTGCACAAGGGCAAAAATAGTGTCACTAGGTTCATTCTGACTGCCAGGATCGCTGCCATAATTCGCCTAGGCTTTTCTTCCACCATGTGATCTGCCTGGTTTTAATTCCAGTGGCTTTTGCTGTTTTCTGCTGGGTTAAGCATTAGCATTTGAGGACTCTGCTGAATTCATTTGTGCCCTTCTTATTTACATGCTTATCTTGGCAGCCATCAGTGGTTTTAGGATCGTGAAAGTTAAGACTGAAAAGAGCGGCATATAAATCTTTTAATCAATCTTTATTTACTCATTTAAAAGATTGATAACCCAGCCTTCACTAATACTGATATCAGGGCAAAGTTCAACAAAAGGTCAAATAGCCAACCAATTTAGCGGATAAACAACCAAGGCTGCAATTCTAAGAGGGAGACCAAATCCAAAGGTGGCTTATCCGCAGGAAAATTAACTACGAACCCCCAAATTTGGGATCCTCTCCAAACCTGCGTCACAAGTTTTGCAGGTTGTTTTGCAGCGAAAACCCCACATTTTGCAGCACCCCACAAACTGAGCAACTGATACATCAAAAACGGGGTTCGTACTTAACATTAACGAACCCCAAAATTTGGGACCCCCTCCAAACTGGTGCCAAACTGTTGCAGCTGTTTTGTAGTATTTTTTTAGTGAAACCCCCAGGTTTTGCTGTGCCCCACAAACTGAGCAATTGCTACTCAAACCTAGGGTCATAGCTATCCCCCAAACCCAACGTTGTCCAATTCGCTTCAAAACAGTGCCAACACCAACAAGGAAGGACGTCTCTCCTTGCCATCTTCCGTGGGCCAGAGCCCGCTCCGTCAGATAGCATCGACTGCCGCTATGTTTGAAGAACGACCTTCCTGAAGGTTACAATCTGCTGGTTTTCCTCTGTAGAAAAGGAGAGGAAATAATGTTGATAACACCGAGGACACAATTTGTGGGAGAGCTTCACATCCTCCAGTCCGGGCAACTGGCCAAAAGGATAAAACTGGGCTATACTAAAACTCTGGCCTGTTCATGGGTATACTTTGCTAAAGTACCATGTTGGGGGACATGAAACAGAACTTGTGCATGCACTTACCAAGGTCAGATCCAGGTGGTTGGGGTCCCAGGGGCAACGCAACACATGAAAGAAGGTACCACAAAGAAAAGTCTTGTGGTATCTTAAAGACTGGGAAGGAACCTACCAGCTCTCTAGTTTGCTTTCACCTACCTCAAAATCACTCTCGTCCACAGGAAGTATGCAAACCAACACATAAAAGTGAGTGAGTGACAACCAGTGCTATTTTTCTAGAAAAAGAGGTTCTGGAACTCACCATGAACGCCTCCCTTGTTCTCTTATAACATTTCTCCGATGAAAACAAGGACGTCACATTCCATAATGATAATTTTACTATTTATACCCCACACTTCTTGCTGGGTTGCCCCAGCCACTCTGGGCAGCTTCCAACATATATAAAAACAGAATAAAACATTAAACTTTTTTTAAAAAACAAAACCTTCCCTATACAGTATTGCCTTCAGATGGCTTGGAGGTCAGATAACTCCATACCCTCCAGCATTTCTCCAAAGAAAATAGGGATGTCCTAAGGAAAAGTGGGACATTCCGGGATCAAATCAGAAACAGGGACAGCTTCTCTAAATCAGGGATGTCACTGGAAAATAGGGACACTTGGAGGGCAATGGCGCCCACCTGAGAAGTGCCAGAACTGAGTTTCAGTGATTTCCAGTTGAAAACAAAAAAAGCCCTGGTGAGGGAGGAAGCGACCTCTGGCATCATTTTCCTCCTAGGCAACAGAATATGCTCCTTTGCCACCTTTTGCCTCTGAAAGGCAATGAGAGCGGGAGACGATGACTTCAGGGCCAGTCAGGGTGGGAGGTCCTTCAGACTTCTGGAAGTGTTCTGCATGAAACCTGTGTCACCAACTTCTGGAGAACCTGCTCCCCTGTCAGGTTACACATTTTAATTCATATCTCGCCTCCAGGAAGGGACATATACATATATAATGAAAGTTCAGACGGCAAGGACCCCTTGCAGGCATGGGCCCTGCTGCAATTACTCCAATTACACCGTGGATAATCTGGCCTTCATGCTCGCAGGGGATCTCTGCATGCCTAATGATCCAAAAGACCAAATGAAGCCACAGGTAAGAGCAGGTTGAAACCACAGCAGACACATGCCCCAACTTGCCCCAAAGGGAAAGAGGCATCCATCAGCTTGGATGAGTCAGTCACCTTCAGTGCTTCAGACTGCTTTCTTTTCTATTTGCCCATTTCTTGGAATTAAAGTCACTGGGTGCCTCTTCTTTCTATATAGCCCCCCCCCTTTTTTGGAAATGCCCCTGCTCCCTTCTTCCAGAAAGTTGTATCTATAAGGAAGAACTTAATGGCAGTTTAAAAAAAAGTCAAATTGCTGTTGTTTTTCTTACGGAGCAGTAGGTGTAGGTATGCTAGATCTGACTGGGCATGCAAACATTGGGGTTTTTTCCCCCTTCCTTTAAAGCTGCATGATGAAGATTGGCTTGCCAGTTTTTCAGCCAGCCACTGTAGCTGTGCCTTTAAAAACAGCGTGATCTGTAGGCACTGACAAGTGATTGTGTTGATCTCCATGCTGAGAAAAGCTTCACTTGCTGGTTCGCGCAGTGTTCTTTACTCTGCACAAGATCAAGCACCAGAACTGAATTCCTAATTGTACTTTCCTCAAAGTAAAGTGAGGTATGATCTGATCCTCCTCAGACTGGAGACAAGCAATCATTCCCGAGAGGTGAAAGTAACGCAAGACGGGCATTCTTCCCCATGTGATACTCAGGATAGAATTCAACAAAGTTTTACTCAGTGTAGACCTCTGGAAACGAATATACATAACTAAGTTAGGTCCATCAATTTCAATGGATCTACTATGAGTAAATGTTAGTTAAATGCCACCCTCATCTCTGGTCAAACCAGCTTTGCAGGATTTTAAAGAATCTAAAATCTGAGGGATAGTAGTGTATGGTTACCAGATTTTTTTCAATGAATCCGGGGACCCCCTCCCCCTTTTTTTTTTTTGAAGCTGAGTAGCAAAAGGGAGTCAGTAGTGGGGATGGTGAGGCAAACGACCCTGGGCTCAAGCATACATGCATATTGTATAAAGGTGCAAAGCCCTTCTTTCGCACCCTGTGAAACATACCGGTAAATGCGCAGAGTTTTTAAAAAACTGGGCAATGGCCGCCTGCCCGAAACTCCCGAGACAAACCACAGTTTAGGGTTCAGATGGAATGTGAAACTGTTTTTTGTTTTTGTTTTTAAATGTTATTGATTTATAGTACAGTGGTACCTCGGGTTAAGTACTTAATTTGTTCCGGAGGTCTGTTCTTTGCCTGAAACTGTTCTTAACCTGAAGCACCACTTTAGCTAATGGGGACTCCTGCTGCCGCCGCACGATTTCTGTTCTCATCCTGAAGCAAAGTTCTTAACCCGAGGTACTATTTCTGGGTTAGCTGAGTCTGTAACCTGAAGCGTCTGTAACCTGAAGCGTATGTAACTCGAGGTACCACTGTAAAAGTAAATGCAATCAGAACAAAACCAAAATGGGAAGCGAAGAGAGAAAAGGAAAAATAGGCTCCAGCAAAGCCTGTAAACAATCCCAAGTCCGGGTCCCCACTATCTGAGTGTTTCTTCCCTTTTTGCCACCTGCTTCAGGTGACTTTTTCATAAATCACAAAAGAAGTTACGTCTTCTGATCACTGAGCAATTGGCCGGGGTGTGTGGAGACATGTGTTCCTTCCACTGTTGTAGCACTAGTCTTTAGGCCACCAACGGTGGGGTAGAAAGTAGAAAAGAAATGGAAACTGTTTTGCAATAAATGTAGCTTTTGCATTTGGTTTTAAAGTTGAGGTCAGGACTGTTTGAATCCTCTATTCCAAAAATACCCAGCATTTTACTTACTCTACAAAAGATGACAGAACATACTGCTGTTGTGTGTTTTTTTTTCAAATTTGGTTTTAAATGAAGAAGGTTTGGGGAAGCTATAGCTACAGAATAATACCATAATAAATTGCTTGCACCCTGGCTAGGGGGTAAATCCTGCTTGCCACCAAGCGTGCAGAGGGTTGCAATGGCAGTGTTTAAATTTATGATCCATACTTAAGTCTTTTTCAGCCCTTGCAAGACCCCATCCTATGCAAGTCTACTCAGATGTAAGTTGCTTTCGGTTCAATGGGGCTTATTCTCAAGTGAGTGGGCATAGGATCCCAACATTACTCTGTAACCGACTCTATCTTTCCACAATGCGCAGCTTCAACTGTTGTCTACATGACGTCCTTGGAGAGGAAAGCTGTTTTTAATTTGCAGTAACTCTTAACTGTTACTCAGCACCTCCCCTCCTCCCAAAGATCCCTGTGAGGAGTCTAAACCCACGCTCTCAGCTCTGCCTTCAGTCAAGTGTGTATCTGATGCAGGGATTATATTTAGTTCCAGGGGACTTGCTTTTTCCGGAACTACAGCACAGGGTAAAAAGCAAGGTGAAAACAGAAACAGTGTTATGCTGCCATTGATGGATCTGAGAAAGACTGGTTCAAGTGTTCTAGAGACTGAAGGTACAGAGGCCCATTCACAGGAATGAAATAACAGGAAGCTGCAATAAAATGGTATTTTTCAGCTTTTGAGGAAAGACATCTCTTGGATGCAGCCATCAAGAGTTGCAGGAAGCGGGGGGAAATGAAATTTGAAATTAAGGAAAACTGGTCATCAGTAAATCATAAGGTCCAAAGACAGGTATATCAACTGATGTTGGGCTTAGAGAACCAGGATTTACATTTCTTTCTGTATCTAGATTTATATTCAGCTTTCTCTTCTTTCCCAGTTAGAACCCGGATAGACTTTTCTGTCAATGCAGACATGGGATGACTATTTGTTATTTTAATGTCATAGCCAGCCACTTTTAGGAGCTGTAGAGCTGGCAAGGGGCATCTAAGTTGATAAAATAAACAAATACATAGAATCATAGAATTGCAGAGGGGCACCGAGGGTCATCTAATGCAACCGCAATGTCAACTAGATCATACATGACCAATGGCCATCCAACCTCTGCTTAAAAACATAAAAGGGTGTTTCTATTTCCCCACCTCTCCCTCTCATTACATACCCAAGCAGCCTTATACCGTGAGACTGAGAAATGGCAAGATGGGCTCCTCAGGTGGTCTCTTGTGACATGTAATGACAGGAACCCTGCAGGTAAGGCACCAACTTCCTTCCTGGAGCACCAGGAGGACCTGCAAGTCATGATTCTAACATCACAGGCTAGAATCCTTCTGAATCCTTTGGGGGTGGACGGCCTCAGAGCCAACTCCATCCAACCTCCTGCTAGGTAGCTCCATGGTCTGTTGCGGACATTCAGCCAACATTCTACTTGTGGGGAAATTCTACGTGTGACACCGCCCCCTAAATAATATTACTGAGCAGAGACCTGAAAAATGGGCATTTTCTGCCATTACCCCTGTATTATAGAATGCCCTTCCTTCTGCCATATGTGAAGTAGCAACCATCAGGTGCTGAGGACATCCTGCAAAGACTTATCCATTTGCCCAGGCTTTAACCCAGGCTTCCTCAACCTCGGCCCTCCAGATGTTTTGAGACTACAATTCCCATCATCCCTGACCACTGGTCCTGCTAGCTAGGGATCATGGGAGTTGAAGGCCAAAAACATCTGGAGGGCTGAGGCTGAGGAAGCATGCTTTAACCCATAAGATCAGTCCCTGTTCTATGTGGCTTTTATGCTAATGTTTCATTAGTTTTAGGCTGTTGGTTTTCCCCCCAGCTGTTGCTTTTATTCATTTATTTAGCCGCTTGACAATTACCAATAATCGACAAAACTCCGTTCCCCCACAAAATGTTGCTTTGTCTCCTAA